CCTCTCTGACCTTCAGCCATATCTTCCTCAGAGCACCCCCATCCCCAACCCTGGCGGGCCTGTCTCAGAGGCAGGGGCTGGGGGAGGTGGGGTGTGGACCAGCCCCACTGCAGGAGCCCCTCTCTGGTACCAGCTTGAGCCCCTGCAGTTTGACTTGCAGGCTGGAAAGTTTCTGATTCTTTCTGGAATCTACTGTGACTTCCTTCAGAAAGAATAGTTTTTATCCATTTCACCAAAGAAACGTTTACTCTCAAGATTGGGGCTGGTTTTTGTTTTCTTTTTTTTTTTTTCTTCTCCGTATGCGGGCCCCTCTCACTGTTGTGGCCTCTCCCGTTTCGGAGCACACGCGCTGGACACACAGGCTCAGCAGCCATGGCTCACGGGCCCAGCCGCTCCACGGCATATGGGATCCTCCCGGACCGGGGCACGAACCCGTGTCCCCTGCATCGGCAGGCGGACTCTCAACCACTGTGCCGCCAGGGAAGCCCTTGTTTTCTTTTTAACAGCTATATTGAGGTACAGTCCACCTACCATGAATTCACCCAAAGTGTACCATTCAGTGTTTTCAGTGTATTCACAGAGCTGTGCAGCCATCACCATGTTCAGTGTCAGGACATTTTCACCACTCCCAGAAGAAACCTACACCCTTAGCCATCACCCTCCAAGCCTCTCAACCCCACTCCCCACCGTAGGCAACCACTAATCTGCCTTCTGTCCCTATGGATTTGCCTGTTTTGGACACTTCATGGAAATGGAATCGTAAGGTGCAGTATGTGGCCCGTTATGTCCAGCCTCTCTCACTCAGCATCATGTTTGCCGTGTTCATTCACATCGTAGCACGTGTCAGTGCTAAATATTCACCGCATGGATGCACACATTGTATTGGTTCAGGAATCCATTGACGAACATTTGGGTTGCTTCCACGTTGGGGCTGTTTTTTGGTGAGCTCACAGTGGGCTCTAGCTTACACTCCTTTGCTCAATTTAGAGCAGGGGTTGTGCCCTCACTGGAGTGTTGAGCAGAACGTGTATAGGGCATCCTGTTTGGCCACTCAGATTAGGCAGGTGGTGATGTATTGGGGCTTGTCCTCCAGGATTTTCCCTAAAGGCAGTTGCCACAGGGAGAGGGGGACGCCTGTCTCAGGAGCCTTCTCTGGAAAGACTGCACTGAGGGCCAGGCCTCGGCCTCAGATGGTGCGGGGTTGTCGACCGTCCCAAAGGCTCGAGGTTTTGACTGGGGTTTCCTGCGTTTCCCCACTCTTGGCCGCGAGGGAAGGAGAAGGGATGCCAGCTGGCCCCGTGGTTAAGACTTAGCCCCTCCGGCAGCTTCTAAAGCGGCGCCCTTATCCCCGGGTGTCTACACCTTCCTCTTTAAAACCACGGTGGAGTTTGGGGGTTGTTTAACTTGGGTCCCGGACGGTATTCCTGCCCCCAGAAATCTCCGAACCAGGCACCCAACCCTCCAGGGCTCCCGCGTGTGGCCGGTGGGCAGCTGCGGCCGGCACGGAGTGCGCTGTGCTGTTCCCAGCGAGGGGTGTGCAGAGGTGGGGTGGCCACTGCAAGGTGGCCTCGTGCAGGATGGCAGAGGTACCTCCGTCAGTCACCTGGGGAAGCTGCCGTCCATGCCGGAAACTCAGCCTGTGGAGAAGTCTGGCAGGTTGGTGGTTAATTTTAATTAGGAACATTTTCACACATCCATCTGGTGTACCCGTCATCCAGTTCAATGGTTGTGAACATTTTGCCACTTTCGCTCCAGCTAAATTCAGCTCCAGAACATTCTGAATTTCACCCCTATATGTCCAGCGTGCATCTCTTCAGGAATATGGACATTTCCTACACAGCCACACGGCTGTTTTCATGCCAACAAGATTAGCAGCACCTCCGTGGGTGCTTTTAGAGGTTTTTTGTGGACTCTCTCCCTTTGTGGGGGAAAGAGGGTCACGCGTGCAGTGGGTTGTTTAGAAACCTCGCAGGAAGCAGTGCTTTGCTGTGGCAGCTGTGATGTGTTGGGCCTCGTTCTGCTCCTGGAACTGTACAGTCTGGGATGACCGTGAAGCCACGTCCTGGCTGTGACTACCAGGATGTATTCTGGACAGAGCTGACTCATAAAACTCAAGAGTTGCCATTTTTGGTCGACAGTCCATTTCCCAAGAGGTGGCCGGCCTGAGGTCCCTGAGGTCACATTCACCAGAGCGTCCTGGGCACCATTGGTGGTGGGGGGTGCTGCTGAGCAGTGGACCAGCCAAGCTGTTCATGAGAGATGGAGCTGGACAGCATCTTGGTTTCTGAAAGTGTGTCCCAACAACAAGAAAAACATAGGCAATGTGGGAAGGTCAGATTTGCCAAGTCTGGGAGGATTTTTTTGTTGTTTGGTTGGTGTTTTGGTTTTGTTTTGTGTTTGGAGCCGAGAACTCAGCCCAGAAGCTGTGGCTGCCCTTTCTCCAGAAGCCTCTCACGTTAATGTCTGTGATGGCCTGGTCCCTGGTCCTGTCATCTGAAAACAAGGACGTGGGCGGCTGTCTCTGCCCTGCCTGAGTGGGCTCTCAGAGGTCCCCTCTGAGTGACGAGTCTTCTCAAGAAGGGTGCCTGTTGGGATCCACCAGGCCTCAGGCAGGAGCTCACCTGCTTCTTGTCCTGATGAGCTTCCCTGCACGCTGCCAGGGGGTCACAGGAGGGGCCCCACCTGGCAGACCCCACGTGGGCAGTGTGTGCAGCGCACAGGTGCTGGCTGGAAACATGGAGGAGGAAGAGAGAGCAGGTCCCCTCTCATCTCGGCTCTCAAGCCGTGCTGTGCAGAGGGACCTGTCAAGGTGGCATGGACCTTACCCTGCAGGGTCTGGCGAGAGCTGGAAAGACAGAACCCGATGTGGGCGCAGAGCCATGGAGCTCCTGTAGTACCTCCTCTGCCTCCCCGCCCACCCCATGTCTGCTTCAAGGTCACCAAGGTCACCATGTTTCCAGCCCTGTGGACCTGACCTTTAAAGCCCCTGCCCCAGCTAGTCCGTGTCAGACTGGCTGGTGCCATGAAGGGGAAGGGGGACGGCGGCACACCTGTCATTGCCCAGCCTACCCTTGGCCATCCCTCAAAGGAACCCTTCTTGCTGGACAGAGCCTACTGGGGTCATGTCCAAGTCTGAGACTGAGCAGCTGCCCCACTGGCCCTGTGGTCAAGCCTCAGGGTGGATTCGGCCCCTGGCAGGTGGCAGGTTAGGACATGGCCTTCCCGGGGACCCTCATAGAAATGCCTGTGTTTCATGGGAACCAATCAGGAGCAGGGTCAGGACAGCAGGAGGGCACTGCACTTGGGCTCCCTTTGACCTTTGGTCATTGCCTGGACTCTCACGGTGCCCATTCATAGCACTGTGGTTTCTAGATTCAGTTTAGGTAACTTCAGGCTACCCCTTGCCCCAACCCCGATGTTTATTATGAAAAATTTCAAATATGTAGAAAAATTGAATCTGTGAACAGTAAGTTCCTATTTTATATCAACCTGCCACTGAGGTCCAACCGCTAATAGCGGTTTGTCATACTTGCATTCTAAGCAGTTGAAAAATGTTTGAACTGTTTAGTTTTAGACCTCATGATACCTCACTCCAAAGTATTTCAGCAATGCATCTCCTAAGACTTTCTGCATAAGCACTGTACCCTCCACATCTAAGTCAGTTAATTACAGTTTCATGATAATTTCATCATAAATTCATCATCTACTGTCCAGCCAATATTTAAGTTTCTCCAAAATGTTGTTTGACTTTTTATATTTCCCAGGAAGAGTTTACACATCACATTTGGTTGTAGGTCTCCTTGTCTTTTTTAGTCTATTTTTTTTAATGACATTGACTTTTTTTATTAATAAATTTATTTATTTATTTTTTGGCTGCGTTGGGTCTTCATTGCTGGGTGCGGGCTTTCTCTAGTTGCAGCGAGCAGGGGGCTACTATTCGTTGTGGTGCGTGGGCTCTAGAGCGCAGGCCCTAGAGTGCAGGCTCCGTAGTTGTGGCGCACGGGTTTAGTTGCTCCGCGGCATGTGGGATCTTCCCGGACCAGGGATCGAACCTGTGTACCCTGTATTGTCAGGCAGATTTCTTAACCAGTACACCACCAGGGAGGTCCCTAAATGGCATTGACTTTTTGAAGAGACCAGGCCAGTTGTCTTGTAGAATTCTACCCGTTCCGTGTGTGTCAGATGTCATGGTGCCCGGGTGCCAAGTGTTACCTGCAGTTGTGAAGTTAGGCCCTGGAGGTTTGATTGGCTTCAGGCCCAGCATTGTAGGTAGGGCTTTGTGTATTTCACAGGAGGCACTGGGAGGCTGGCCTCCATCCCTGGGGGACGTGGGACTGCAGGATCTCAGGGGTGTGAGGTTAGGCTTTTCCTTGGCGATCGCTGAGTCCTGGGGGTGCAGGTGCTTTGTCAGAGTCCACCCGTGGCCTTCCTGCCTGGACTGAATGTAGCTTCCTGATTTAATCGTTGCAACTCGTGGCCCCTGTCTTGAACTTTTGACATGTCTTGAAGTCCTTCTGTGCGCACATAGAGGAGGAGAAATGGCCCACCCAGCAAGTGCCACTCTAAATCCAGCAGTCTCTGGGGCTGCTGAGCCCTGGGTCGTTTGTTGGCAGCCACTGGCCCAGGCTGGGAGGAGTTGGGGCTGGCAGGGCTGTGTGTCTCCCCAGTGGAAAAACAGCAGGTGTGAGGGAGACGTGAGAACCTCTGGGCAGAAGTAGGGCTGGTGTGGGCGCTCAGCGGGCAGCTCAGAGGGGCCAAGAGAAGAGAGAACACAGACCAGAGTTGGGCTGCCCTCTGTGGGGCTCAGGAGTATCCCATGTGAGCAGCGAGGGGACCCTGGGTCCCCATCCTCCCAGGCCTTCCCGATCCTTGGTTTCCTGCCCTGCAGGGACGGTGGGGGTGGGGGTGTGCCTGTGATGCCTAGTGCATGGAGTGTTGTGAGGGGAGGAACACTCCATCAGGGGGACGGTGCGAGCTTTCCCACCTTGCTTGCCTCACAGGTTATATGAGGAGGAGGAGGCGGCAGCGTGGGTGCGGCTGCCTCCTGACACCTCCCTCCCTGCAGGTGTGAATGACAGAGGTGGTGCCATCCAGCTCCCTCAGCGAGGTCAGCCTGCGTCTCCTCTGCCACGATGACATAGACACCGTGAAGCACCTGTGCGGCGACTGGTTCCCCATCGAGTAAGTTGAGCAGTGTCCCCAGCTGTGGCTTGGGGGATAGGGAATGGCGGGGGGGATGTGCGCAGAGCTGTGGGTGCCAAAGCTGAAAGGCTTGCTGTGAAGGCGCCGTGGTGGCCCAGAGTGACCTCGCCTGTCGGGGCCCCGGGCCCCGCTCCCTGACTACCACCAGGCTCTTTGCACCTCATTGTGTTCCTAGGGATCCCCGAAAGGGCTTGACTGAGAATCTTTAGTTACCAAGATGTTCCATGCAGTGCTACTTACAATATTCAGAAAATTGAGAAGCTACTTAAGTATCTTAACAGAAAGGAATTGGTTACATACATCGGGGTATGTGTATGCAAAAGTATAATGTTATTCTGCCGGGGGAAAAAAAACCTGTCCTAGAGGTATATATGTTGACTAGGAGAGTTTTTTTATGAGATATTAAGTGGAAAAAGCAGACTAGAAAGCAGTATGTACCACAATCCCCCTTTTGTTTAAAAACACATACAAGATAAAAGCTTAGGAGGATATGTACCTCGTAGCAAATGTGTTCGGTAGTTCACGTGGGTGGATGATTAACATCTACAAGTTTGTCTGGTTTTGCTAGTCTGTACTTCCTACATTTTTCTGTAATATGCACATAGAGCTTGTAGTGAGAAAAATAGTGCAGACTTTTAAAAATAAACAAGATCCTGCCAATCATGACATTTCCGTGAGCCTTAGCCTCAGACGTGTTTAACCTGCTGCCGGCAGGAAGGGAGGGATTCCCTTACGTCCCTGATGGGAATGTGAATTGTCACCTTCTGGGGCCACAGGCTAGCGGCGGCTTCATAGGTTAGAAAATAAATGTCATCCCAGCAGTCCCACCGCTGGAAAGTAATCCAGTAATTCCGAGGTTGGACCCCGCTGAGGGTGACCTGGGGCAGGTAGAGCCTCACCAGCCAGAGCCTCTGTGCCTCTGAGGAGCCCGACCTGCTTGCCTCTCCTTGCAGCTTCCTGGGCCTGAGGCCTCAGGTTCCAAAGATGAGGGAGAGAATTTCAGTCCCATCAGACCATGTGGTGGCAGCTCCCCTCCTGGCTGCCGCGCCACCCAGCACTGCTGCGGTCAGAAGGCGGGAGTGTGATGAGGACCAGGAGAGGAGCCTGGGTGATGCTCAGGTTCTATGGAACCTTCCAGTGGGCGGGCAGTGGCCTCTACAGTGCAGACCTGAGTAGAGCACCTCTCTGTGTCGCCAGGAGGGTCTGAGACCCTCCTCCAGCTCTTGGTCTCATGAAAGGCATCCTGGGCTAACCCGCTGTGTCCGTTAGGAAACAAACCCAGACACCCTCCCGACCGAGCCTCCTTGGCTGTGGCTGAGTCTGCCTTTTCATCACTGCATCACTGTTCTTTTCCCTGCTCCCCTCGGACGGCACTTGGTGAGCAGCCCCAGTGACCCTGGATACACCTTGCCCTTGAGGCCCAGTCCCTGAAACTCAAATGCCACTCTGCAGCAAACCTGGCTCTCCCCACACCACTTCCCCCAGTCTTGAAAAAGTCTCACAGAATTCTTGGAAATCACCCAGGTGTCCACGGGCTGCGGGGGTCATCAATCTTAACTCATCCACCTGCCCCCCCCAGGCACTGCTCTCGAGGGGACAGTATCATCAGAGGTTTTCCCCCTCTTGTCTCTGTGTCTTGTAAGATTGTTTTCCTATCAAATTTCCAGTCCTGTCTGGACAGATAACCGCTTTCAGAAGATGATACTCTGAGAGTGATACACTTCGGTGGAGACTGAGCGATGGGCAGACCCCTCGTCAACCCTGAGTGGTGGACAGAGCAGCCTAGGGTCCCCTGTGGCTCAACTCTCTGAAGCACGATGGGGGTTGGACTTGACCTGGCCAGTTCATCTGAGTTTGTCTCCTCTTCAGGTACCCAGACTCATGGTATCGTGATATCACCTCCAACAAGAAGTTCTTTTCCCTCGCCGCAACCTACAGGGGCGCCATCGTGGGAATGATCGTAGCTGAAATAAAAAGTAGGACCAAGATACACAAGGAGGTGAGTGTATGCGGCAATGACTTGGCAGTCCGTGCCTCTGGACAGGACTGTGGGGCCTTGTGACACAGTCACGCTGCCTGCTCTGGTCCTTTCTCTTGGGAGCCCAGACGGCGTGTGAGATTCGTACCTGGTTGGTTTCTTTCTGTGTGTTTGTGACACAGTCGTATATGCATTAAGTAACACGACCACAGGCTTCACAATGACAGCCGTTTTGAAGTAGGGAGGCAGGTAAAAGGTACACTGGCCTTTCTGCAGGCTTCGAGTCACGAGAGCAGGAAGGATGCTTACCTCCCTGAGACCGATGACAAGCCCACCTGTGTCCAGGCTAACTGTGGTGTGGAGGGTGGGGCGGGGAGTGGGGAGCTGACCCACTCCCAGCACGTGGGAGCCACTCAGTGAGCAGTGGACGGGACACAAAGGCCAAGTCGCCAAGTGTCCTTTTCAGTGGGGTAGAGAAAACCATACACATGGCAGGTCCTTCTAGTTCTTTGTGAGGTAGAAGAACATAAGAACCGTGTGCTGGTTGGATTCATGACACTCCTGGTCCAAAATTGCATCTCCGGAACCAAGAGACCCACGTGGGGCGGTGTGTCACTTGGCCTGGCCTTGGCAGCGGAGGGTGGTGGAGGGCACCACTGTCCACCCTGCCCCCCGCCTCCCCCTTTACTGCGAGACCACCTGGGGATGTGTAGGATCCCTAGTTAAAACATTCACACTCTCTTGGGCTGTCTTGTCTCTTGGCGGGTGGACTGTCACGTGCTGAGGGCCCGCTGAGCGGTTCCTTCTTCCCGCCATGACTTCACTCATCTGGCATCCCTGACCCTCCTTGTCTGGTCTACCACCCACCCCAAGAGAAGCGATTTTTTTGTGTGCTCTTATATCTGCAGTTTCTCGCAGAAGGGCCCACACCCTCTTGTTTCCATGGGGGTGGAGGTGACCCTCTATTGTCTTCTGTTCTGTCCCCTCTGCCCCAGTGTCCCCCCAGGTGTCATGGCTGGGAAGTTGGCAAGTGAGCTGTGTCCTACAGTGGGACCGGAGCCTCCACTGCTGACACGACTGTTTCTGACTTTCTCTTTAGGATGGAGATATTCTAGCCTCCAGCTTCTCTGTTGACACGCAGGTTGCGTACATCCTAAGCCTGGGAGTAGTGAAGGAATTCAGAAAGCACGGCATAGGTAAGAGTGGCAGAGCTCATAAACCACCACCACCAACTCGCCCCCCCCGCCCCGTTCTGACGATTGTCTCTCATAAATACCCCTCAGTCTCTTCTTCCATCCCTGTCCCTCTGTCTGGGGCCAGACCTTCATCCTTCTCCCCTTCCAACAAGACCCATGACCCCACCCACTCCCTTGGCTTTCAGCCTGTCCTCTTTCCATACAACACCAGGTCTTTCTGCCGTGGCCTCTTTCCCAAATCTGACAAGATCAGATTAATAACCGCTCCCGAATGTCCTCATTTGGGAATGGGCACCCCTTATCGTGCCTCTTACCACACACACAGCTTATGTCTGATCCCAAGATGTATATATTTTTTTAATAACTTTATTGGAGTACGATTGCTTTACAATGTTGTGTTAATTTCTATCGTACAACAAAGTGAATCAGCTGTAAGTATACATATATCCCCATATCCCCTCCTTCTTGAGCCTCCCTCCCACCCCTCTAGGTGGTCACAAAGCATCGAGCTGATCTCCCTGTGCCATGCAGCTGCTTCCCACTAGCCACCCATTTTACATTTGGTAGTGTATATATGTCAGTGCTACTCTCTCACTTCGTCCCAGCTTCCCCTTCCCCCTCCCCGTGTCCTCAAGTCCATTCTCTACGTCTGTGTCTTTATTCCTGCCCTGCCACTAGGTTCATCAGTACCATTTTTCTAGATTCCATATATGTGCTTTAGCATATACAGTATTCGTTTTTCTCTTTCTGACTTACTTCACTCTGTGTGACAGAGACCCAAGGTATTCTTGATTAAGAGTAGAAAACATAATTGAAAAATAGTGCTAGCCACCATTTATCGGGTGCCCGCCACACCTGGGGTGCCGGGCTGCCCGCATGACTCCAAATTCCCATCCCACTCAGCCACACAGCCAGTGAGTGGCAGAGTCTTCATTTGTGTCCGTTCCACATTTTCCTGGGCTCAGGTTTACACTTCATTGTCTAAAAAGATCAGTGAGTCTCTGTTGTGGGTTCAGCCCCTGGGAGGGAACTAGCAGGCTGGCATCCGCGGTTCCGGATGCCTGAGGGCCTCAGGTGACAAGCCCCATCGAGCCATGAGATGTTAGGGACTTCTATAGTGTTGGTTATGGGAGGTCGGTCTTTGGTCCAAAAGCAGAGAGATCTGTAGAGACCTCTGCAAAGATGACTTCCTTGTCTGCCTCATGCTTCCTTCCCACTTGCCCTGCGCCTCTTCCTCCGCAGGTTCCCTATTACTTGAGAGTTTAAAAGATCACATATCAACCACCGCCCAGGACCACTGCAAAGCCATCTACCTGCACGTCCTCACTACCAACAATACGGCTATAAACTTCTACGAAAACAGAGACTTCAAGCAGCATCACTATCTCCCCTATTACTATTCCATCCGAGGGGTCCTCAAAGATGGCTTCACTTATGTCCTCTACATCAACGGTGGCCACCCTCCCTGGACCATCCTATATCCTTTCTCTTTCGGGGGTGAGGTATTGTGGCTTCCTAGCAGGGCCCGTGCGCCAGCTGGAGCTGTGGTTGCCTTCACATGGCATCCACAAGGCCAAGCTCATGGGACCAGATACTGTTGTGGGCAGGTCTGGCTGGCACATCTTGGGAAATGACAGCCTGGGTGTGGACGTTGGGAAAGCAGGCCAGCTCTGGCACTCGGCGCTCACTGGACGTTAGACTGGTGTGAGGGGAGGGTGTTCAGCCTCCTGGCCTAAGATCCATCCATCTATCAAGTATCGAATGAGAGCCTCCTGTTCCCCCAGGTGCGTGGGGGATACAACAGTGAACGAAACAGCCAGAAGCCCCGGCTCTCATGGGGCTGTGTGCTGGTGGGGGAGAAGCCAAGCAAGTGACGTGAAACGAACTGTTTGCTGGTTTTTTTTGTTTGTTTGTTTTGTTTGTTTTGGTTTTTTTTTTGTTTCTTTGCTGTTTTTGAACACTTGGGTTCAAACCTTCTTTGCTGGGTGCGTGACCCAGAGGTGTGTCCCTGCCCTGCTCCCTCCTCTTTAACTCTCTCTGGCCCTTGACATGTTCGGTGGAGGCCAGGAGACTTCCTGATAGTCATAGGGTGTGAACCCCAAAGTACTGTGTGTATGTGAGAGAGAGAAGTTAAATTAATGAGTCCAGGATTTATCCATTTCACAGGGAAATAAACAAGAAAGACAAGGACGGCCCAAAAGCCTGCAGGCCTAGCTCCTGTGAAGATGGGTCTCTGTGGGTGTCCACGGGGTCAGGACTGCTGACCCCTCCTCATCACAGGGACAGGGCCCTGCCAGTCTGAGGACTGAGCGTAGGGGAGAACTAGGAACACTTGCTCTTCCAGACCCCTCCCCCAGCACCCAGTCCTGTCCAGCCTTAGTCTGGGTGTCCAGGTGCCTGGGGCCTCACCCAGAAGGTCCCTTGTACCCAGGCTCTGCCCCGCATTATTTTGTGCAGCAGAGCCCCCTCCATCTGATGAGGCTTTCCGGCCCTGCAGAGGCTGAGCAGGCTCTTGGCCTCCTGCAAGAGTGGCGTGCTGTCTGCATGCGGCCCCCATGGTCACCGTGCTGACAGTGCCGCCCTGGGGCAGTTGGGCAGGCGAGTCGGAATCTTCCTTAACAGAGCTGCACGGACTACATCCAGCACCTGGGCTCTGCGCTAGCAAACCTGAGCCCCTGTTCCATCCCGCACAGGATCTACCGCCAGGCCCACAGCCTGCTCTGCAGCTTCCTGCCATGGTCAAGCATCTCCACCAAGGGCGGCATCGAGTACAGCCGGACCATGTGACGCCAGCCGGGCAGTCTCTGCCAGGCCCCACCCCTCGGCACCCTGTGGAAACCACCTTCCCAGCCATCTGACTTCTGCTGTCCTCTGCAGAGGAGCCGGTGGGCACCTGCTGGGCCCGTCAGCGTGCCCCACCTGCAGGCCCGGTGCTACGTGGGCTCGGGAGAAGAGAGTCAAGGGGCGTGCCCGGTCTCCCCCAGGTACACCAGAGCGGGGGTGCAGAAAGGGGAGCAGAGCCCAGTGGGCTGATGGTTGGGGAAATGGAGGCGGTGCTTTCAGCAGTGAAAACAGGAGGCCCTGGATGGGCATCTGCTGCTCAGGGTGCTGGGAAGCATGGCCAGGGGCCGAGATAGTTCCCGAACGTCTCTCAGAAACTTCAGGAGGGAAAGCAGAGCTCTTGACCTGGCCAGAGCTTGGCCTGAACTACCTGAACTACTGAACTACTTTTTAAAAAATAATGCATTCACATGGTTCAAAAATTGAAAAGTTACCAAAAGATCACGCCCCTTCTACTCCTGTCCCCAGACACTCAGCTTCCCCTTCCCAGGGGTTATCAGTGCCGCTGTGTCCCTGGTGGTGCTTCACTGTAGATGGCAGCTTTAACAGCAGCGGCCTTGCCCTGTGGTGGGCACCTAGATGAGAGCTCTGCTTAGACACGGCCGCTTCTGAGCACCGTGGGGAGCTGGTCTCCCAGACCTCAGGGAATGGCGTCATGGGGACTCCAAGGTCTACCCCTTGTGCATGGACACGGCCCAGAGCGGATTGTGATGTGGGCCAAGCCCAGGCGGCAGGGCTCCGTGGCCTCCTGGGCTGGCACCCCCGTCGGTACTGTGGTTTGTGCTGGGACCGAGGAGAGCCAGTGGTCACTGGAAGGGACTCTGGACCTGGAGGAGGGCTCACACTTCAGGAGCGCCAGGGACCCAGCTTTGGGCTCCTAGGCCGGGCCCCTGGGGAGGGGAGGGAAGCAGAGCGTTTCTGCTGAAGCCTTCACCCCTGCTCCCCTCTTGTGTATCCCACAGGCTCCTCCAGCCCTCCTTCCCAATCTGGAAACCTTCACTTCTGCTGAGCCCTGGCCGGGCCCCCGCACGTGCTCTAGCCCCACGGGCACCTAGGGGTGGCAGCGTTCACTGTGGTCTGTTTCTTCTGCTGCCCTGGGAGCAAGGGCATGGGAAAGGGCTTCCTTCCCCACGCCCCTCACCGGCCTCTTCCCCTCCGCTGTGTGATCCTTCCAGCTCCTTCCTGCAAAGTCGGAATAAACTTCTGGGAGGGAGGAACCCAAGTGTTACGGACAGACTTGACCCTAAAGACACAGGAGCCTCTGAACAATGAGGGGTCAAAATAACGGGAAGGCCAGCCCCTGGTCCAGAACCAGCACCCAGAAGCCCGGAGGGGTGGGGAGCAGCTCCGGTCTCTCCACCCAGGGCTGACCCTTGCTGGGCACAGCTGGGGAGGCTTCTCACCCACACACTGAGCTCTGTGGCTTCGCTCCCCACATGTGTGGGCGGATAACGAGACAGGTGCCCACATTCCCCACTAGGAGGCTGAGTCCTCCCACAGCCTCTTCCCATGGGCTGCTTCATTCTGTCCCGAGCGATTGGAACCACCTGTCAGATGGTGGATGTGCCATTCAGCTGAGCTGCTGCAGGGAGCTGGGCTGAGGACAGGCACCACTGAGGGCCTGGGTGTCCTCTCCCCACAGCCCCCCAGCCCCATGAGCAGCAGCTCTGAGGCCTGGCCAGGTGCAGACAGGACAAAGCTGAGCACCGCAATGACCAAGTGAGACCCGGCCTTTGGGGCTGGGGACAGTACGTGCCTTGTGGTCCCTCCACCTCTGGGGCAGAGACAGTGCCTGGAAGTGTGCGCGTGGACGGCACGTGCTCCTGGCACCCCTTCTGCCAGGGCCCCTAGAGCTGCTTGCTGCCTGGCCTGCCCCTCCGGAGCAGAGGGGATGGCGCAGAGTCTCACGCCGGACGAGAGCAGGAGACGGGAAACCCCAGGTGGGGGCTCCGTGACCGTGTCCTTCCCTCCCTCGGAACTTCCTGGCCCGGGGCTCCTGCGGCCTCACTGGTGGATCCTGGGCAGGAAGGGCACTCCATCTCCCCCCACTCCCCACCTCCATGCTGACATTGGTTTCATGCTGAGGCCCAGCTGGGTGTCCTCTCTAATCTGAATCAACGATGATCATGTGATTTTTATTTCTGCCCCTCAGGATAAGGGAAGAGTCTTCCAGAAGGTTCTACTTTGTACATTCGTAATTGAGCTCAGAGGCTTTGCCCTGCCCCTCCCTCCCCCACCTCCTTATCACTGCAGTGTCCAGCCCAGTGTTGAACAGATTATAGTGTTTTGTCTTACTACAAACAAATAAATAGACTTTAATTGGTCACATCCTGTCTTTGCAGGCCCTGCGCCTGTGGACCCGCCCCGTGGCTGAGGGCGGCCCAGGAGCTGCTTGTCCCCTGGCAAGTCCCAAGGACGGCTTCCAGCTCAAAGGGCGATTGTTTTTTATGATCATAATTGTACCTTGCCCTGCCAAGGAATACAGCCCTGGAAGAGGTTCTAGAGCTGGTGAAAGTGCAGTGGTCAGGCAGGGGCCCTGCCCAGGGCACCCCACTGCAGGAGCCTTAGGCAGGGGGCGGGGGGGGGCAGCAGGTCCCAGCCCCTGGCTGGGCCAAGAGGGGGACCAGGTCCTTCTACCAACTTCTTGGAGCCTCTGGCCACCCTGGGGGCAGGAGGTCGTGCCTGTCACCCTCTTAGACAAATGACTGGTTGAGGGGCTGGGAGTAGCTCAAGAGCCACACAGCTGTGAACGTGGGCTTGAGACCCCAGCCCAGGTGTGGACCCCTCCAAAGCGTGGGTGCGCTGCTCCCTGAGGGCTGGGCCTCCCCCTGATGGCCCTCCCTATGGGACAGGGCCTGAGGCTGGTGGCCCGGACTAGGAGCTGCCACCACCCAGGGCCGCATGCACACGTACAACAACCTGAAAAGCACCCAGGGACCAAGGTTTCCAGAATCTGCTGTACCAGGGTACAGGGGAAGGGCAGGGGCCTGAGGGAGCTTTCCCCATGTCTGGAAGGAGCCCAGCTGTACTGGTGTCCAGAATGTCCTTGACACTATCATGTGTGGTCTGACAGAAGCCTGTGAGAGGGGTAGGTCAGCCCTTGCCTGACCCAGGCTGCCAGGACAGGAAATCAGCCAAATGGTGAGGGTCACTGAGGCAAACCCAGGTTCTCCCATCTGTCCCCACAGGCTGAGGCCCAGTGATGTAGAGCAGGGGGTCTCATCCCAAGAGATTCTGCCCCCCAGGGGACCTCAGACTCTCCAGAGATGTTTTTCGTTGCCACACTGGGCGGAGGGCACTACTGGAATCTAGTGAGTGGAGGCCAGGGCACTGCTAAACATCCTGCAACTCACAGAACAGCCCCCGAAACAAAGAATGGCATAGCCCCAAATGTCAACAGGGCTGAGGTTAAGACCTCCTGATACAGAGGAGCCCATGCCTGGTTGCCTGGAGTCTAGCCCAGCTGGGAGAAGGGCTGTGCCCATTCTGCCTGGAGGGTCAGGGCAGCCAGGGGTCCCCAGGGAGGGTGAACTCAACCAAGGCCTCAATGAGGGGCGGCATGGGGTCAGGGCCAATGTCTCTGCCCAGGTTGGGAACTTGCTCTCCTCCCGACACCCTGCCTAAACTTGGCCTAACTTTCTCTGTCCTCTGCCCTCTCCACCCAGAACAAGCCCTGCTCTTAGGCCTGCTGAGACCCTGCCCACCCAGGAAGCCTGCCCAGAGTCCCGCCCAGAGGAGGACGGCTCCCTCCTCAACTAAGGGTGGGAGCACCTCGGATTCCCCCAGGATCGACATGGAACTCTGCTCTCAGAACACAGGTGCCGAGGGACCATTTCTGTGGCTGAATTGGCCTGATGACAGACAGACCCAGGGGCAGAAGGTGCAGGCCTTGGCTTTTATTGAGATTAGACCGGTAGGCTCCCTGGCCTCTTGGGAGCCCAACTCTCCACTCCGCCCAGCCTCCCAGGTACAAGTGGCAGACTTGAGTTGGAGCAGGCTGCAAGGGTACGCCCAGGCTTCTTTCTGTCCCTCCAGCAGGACCTCCTCATCCTTCCACCCTCGAGTTTTCCCAAGGCTGGCCTAGGCTCTGGTGCTGGGCAGCTGCCCAGGCATCTCGGTGTGGGGATGCTACTGGTGGGGGCTGAGCCCTTCCGCCTGGACCTGTGTCCTCCTCCTGGGCCATCCTTTCCCCTCCTGTCCTGAGCTGGGAGAACCAGCCCTGGCACTTGGATCCCTATGGCCTCTCTAGAGCCCCAGAGTGAGTTCTCTTGCTCAAGGGACATGTGGATTCCTCTGAGGCCCACCCAGGATCTCTTAGGCCTGAGCCCCAAGCCTTCAGGGGCACCGGGCTGGGAGGGGGCACCCTTGGCTGGGTCCATGCTAGAACTGGAAGCTGAGGAAAGCGGGGGTAGAGGAGTCACTTGGAGGGACCTGGGGGAGGCTGCCAGCCCATCCTATGACCCCCGTGAACCTGGCATCCTTCAAAACCGGAGGGGAGGGGGCAGTTCTCCTTAAAACCTGGGAGGGGAGGAGGAAGAGGGAAACACGTTTCAAACTGAAAGGACCCTTCTCTAACACGAACCCCTCATTTTACAAATGGGGAAACAGACCTGGCCAGCGGGGGAGAGCAGTCCAAGGTCTCTCATCAAATGTAGAGCTGGGACAGGTACCCAGGAGGATTGGGAGTGGAGAGGGGCCACCTGGGTCCATCTGAGTGCCCAGCCCAACCCTGCCCGGGGTCTTCCCCTCCTGTCCTCAGCCCTGCATCACCTGGACAGGTGCTCACCTGTATTTCCCAGGCTGTCGAGCTTCCAGAAGGGCTGAGTGGTGACTGTTACCTGGTCCCAGAGCCCCCTGTGGTAAGTCCAGGGGCAAGACTGTGCCCTCGGGTTGTGGGAGGCAGCCCCCGGCCATGAGCTGGCTCAGCCAATGGCTTTCACACTGGCCGGCAGAATGCATGTGGCTTGGCAGGTAGAGAGCCAGGCCCCGGAGGTGGTGCAAGTTCTTGGGCTTGCTTCCCTGGGCACTGGGGCACTGCTGCTGCTGGGCCCCCAGCCCCCCCACATATATATTGGGTGGCATGTTGGGGTGACTGGTGCGTCCTCGGGCCCAGCTCACTGCATCTGTGGAGGGGAGAGCAGGAGATTGGTGGCTGGTGGGCCACAGCAGCCGTGAGGGGACAGTGTAGTCACATGCTTATGTGATGGGCTCCACCCCTGGCCTGCGGAGCCTCAGCTTACCTGTCTGTCAGATGGGCTCCGCCCCCTGTCTCCCACCTCCCTCACCCAACAAAGCACTCCTTCTCCCTCCCAACCAACAGGGAGGGCTGAGAAGCCTGAGTCTTGGCATCAAGATCTCTTTCAGGACTGCAGGCTCTTTCTGCCACCCCTTTTTGCCCCCTACCCTAGAGAGAGCATTCTGGTGCCCAGGGTCACATGGCCTGGACTGGTGGCCATTCCCCTCTCCCAAGCTTGCATGTCCCTGAGGCCACCCTGGTGGCTTTGGGCCCAGGTCAGGACAGGAGGGCATCTCTCCTGCCACTCCTCCCCACAGCCTGGCACCTTCTCTTATGTGCAGCTGAGAGAACGCACAGACCAAGGCTTCCATGGAGGGCCAGCCAGGTTGGGGAGGGGCAGCCGGGTCTCCTGTGCAGCAGGGCTGTGCTCTCCCCTGCCTAGGGGATGGATCTGCAGGTCTCCCTTGGCAACCAGCTCTGTGATGTCACAGGGAAGACTTCCAGGTTTCCCAGATCCCTGAGTTTGGGAGAGGGTGATGCTCAAGGGCAGGGGCAGGGTGGGAGGAGGACAAGGGAAGGGGGAAGAACCTTAGGGGAGGTCCCTGGTCCCTCTGGCTTGGGACAGGCCTGCCAAACATTCAGCTCTTGCAGGCTGAGGAGTCACTCCCAGGGGTGACTGCTTGGGATATCAGTTTCCTAATCTATGGATGGAAAATGAAGGTTTAGGGATGCAGACTTGGTGAGATCTGGGTCAGTGCTTTGAGCATGCTGAGAAGGTGGTATTGGGTGACTGGATAGGTCCCTTAATTTTTCCGTCCATTTTCCCATAAGTAGATGATGGGGTACTGTGGGATCACACCAAGTGTAAGGAAGGATTTGGAGGAACTGGAACTCATATGTTGCTGGGGGAATGTAAAATGGTACCACCAATTTGGGAAACAGTTTCTTAAAAAGTTAAACCTTCAATTCTCTCTATTCACAGATGACATGATCTTATACAGAGAAAAAAATTAATTCACACTAAAAAAAACTATTTGAGCTAATAAAACTATCGGAGCTAATAAGATTCAGCAAAGTCTCAGGATACAAGATCAACACGCAAAATTAACTGTATTTCTATACAGTAGCAAAGAGCAAAAAAAATAAAACAGGAATAAAATTAACCATGGAGGTACAAGACAACACTGAAAACTAGAAAACATTGCTGGGAAAAAAAAACTTAAATAAATGGAAAAAGATCCTGTTCATGGTTTGAAGACTTAATATTGTTAAGACAACAGTCCTTCCCAAAGTGATCTATAGATTCAATGCAATTCTTATCAAAATCTCAATGGCCTTGTAGGCAGAAACTGATCCTAAAATTCATGTGGAATTACAAGGGAGCCCAAAAGCCAAAAACAATCTTAAAAAGTTTGAGACTCAAGATTTCTGATTTCAAAACTTATTGCATACAATGCTACAGTAACCATAACTGTGGAACTGGTATAAGGCTAGACATCCAGACTAATGGAATAGAATAGAGAGCCCAGAATAATTTCATACATCTCTGGACAATTTATTTTCAACAGATCGCCAAGACTATTCCATAGGGAAAATAATAGTCTCTTCAACAAATGGTGCTGGGACAACTAGATGTTCAAAAGATACAAATGAAGAATGAAGCTGGACCCCTACCTCACACCATATACAAAAATTAACTCAAAGAAAACTCTGAAGAAATCCTCATCACCATGGATTTGGTAATGGATTCTTAGATATGACAACAAAAGCACAAGCAACAAAAGAAAAAATAGGTAAATTGGACTTCATAAAAGTTGAAAACTTTTGTGTTGCAAAAGACAGTGTCAAGAAGTGAAAAGACAGCCTACAGAATGAGGGAAAACATTTGCAAATCATATATCTGATTAGAGTGTAGTATCTAGAACACATAAAGAGCTCTTACAAGTCAACAACAAAAAGACAAACAACCCAATTTAAAAATGGGTGAAGAACTTGAATAGATATTTCCCCAGAGAAGATACACAAAGAGTCAACAAGCACATGAAAACGTGTTCAACGTATTTAGTCATTAGAGAAATGCAAATTTAA